TGGCCTGTTTATAGGCCTATACTAAAGCAGTGATTGGTTAGAGATCAGTTAAGCAGTTAGAGTTTGTGAGGAGTGGGTGTGTGACCTGGTGAAGAAGCAAGCATTTTCATTGGTTGCGTTTTGGAAAAGTCACTTCCTGTTATATTTTTGTGTCTTAGGTAGAGAATTGTGTGTAGTGTTTTGAAAGAAAGTGTTTTATGTGTGTGTGAAAGGTTGAGAAATAGCTTATGGTTTTAGAGTGTGCAGTTTTACTCTTTTAATGAGAGGTTTCAAAAATCATGTGACATGCAAAGATTTTGTGTGTAAGCAGTTGTGAAAAAAAATATTAATTGCCATTCCCTGCCTGCCCACCAGATGCCCTCAAACTTTTTCCCAAGCAACGTCTCATCTGTTCTCACTTCCTTCAGCAGTCTCTCACTACGGTCCAATCCCCATTTCCACCCTAAAGCAAAAAGCTGGACACACTGGATCTGTTGGATCCTATTCATCTTCTGTGGCAGGCAGGTGCATGATGGAATGCAATCTGAATTTGTATAAACACAACTTGCTCAACTTTACAGAAATTAGCCTGTTCAACACAACACACCAGGCTCACGAAACTGACTGCAAACTAAAACTAGGCAGTGCTGATCAAATATGAATCAAGATTCTGTTACAGGGTTGCTTATTTCTTGCCTCAGAGGTTTTCAGAAACATATTTCAGTGTACTGATTAGATCGTTGAAAACAGACAATCCACAGCTAAGCACAACCCAACTTGCAGTTTTCTTATCCAGTTGCAGAGCATTCATTGGTTGGCTGCATCCAGATGCATCTTTGATTCTGTGTGTCTCCAGTTTAAGTCCTGAACATAGCGTAAGCAAATATACAACGCGTTGGTGACGCTCCCTGGTCAGCTTGCGCTCACTGCCTGATGTTGGTTTCTGATCAGAGGCTGAATATGGTAAATATCACAGAGTTTTAAAACGAAAATGTCATCAGCGGTTTAGCTGCATATCAGAACTGATCTCAATCTACATTATAATGACTGAAAACGCACTGTGAAAAGTGACCGTTCATGTACGGCACACCCTTGCCGGTGTAAACATGAAGCACATGTTCTACTTCACAGTTGCGGAAGACTTGACGAAAGAAGAAAGTAATACAGATGAAGAACCACAACAGATATTTTGTGGCTTGTGAAAGGCAGGTCCCACGTGACCCTGACCAGGGGAACCCCAAACAAAGAGAGAGGGGGTCCCGCCAGTAGGCCAGATCAGGGGCCTCTGTCTCACCGGGTCGAAACGCAGGCGGATGAACCAGCACTGCAGCCTCCTCATATGAAAGAGGCCCAGAGGGACCACCACGTGACCGCCAACATGAGGCCCAGAAGCCTCATGACCGACAGAGCTGCCACTGCCGCTCGAGGGACAACACGGCAGAGCAGCTCCACCAGAGAATCCCCCCTCTCCTGAGTGAGCCGCGTTCTCCAGAGAGAGGAGTCCAGTACCACGCCAAGGGGTAGATGGGTAAGATGCTTGCCTTTGGTGTGGGAGACCTGGGTTCAATTCCCACTGTGAGACATCCACCATTGTGTCCCTGAGCAAGACACTCGTTGCTCCAGAGGCGCGCGACCTCTGACATGTATAGCAATTGTAAGTCGCTTTGGATAAAAGCGTCAGCTAAATGTAATGTCAGAAAAATATCTGTACTGGGTGTGTATATGTTCTGTCCACACAAAGCGAATGTCGTGGACTCGTACAGTTTCTGTGGGGAGGGGTGTGTGAAGGGACCTCTGATCGTGAACAGAGTGTAGACAGAGTGCTTGTTGCTTTGAGTTCAAGCTGCAGGTGAGCCACTTGGCTCACAGTGTGGGAAATGTGTGCTTGGTGTGGCTGGGTCGGCCAGCAGCAATGAAACCGGTTAGCAGCAGCTGATGGAGCAACGTGGGCACACGGGTTCTCCCTGGTTGGCTGATGCAGGCAGACCGCATGTGAGCATCACGTTAGCTATCCGGTAGCTCAACGTTAGCTCAACGCTCGGAGTCCCATGAATGGGAAGATGTAGCCCATGTGGCAGACGTCAAGCCGTCTTTTGCTATTTTCTCTTTTGCGCGGAAGGGATAAACCCAATAGCGTTAGCCTTAGAGAGCGAAGCCTATACGAAATAGAACCTTGCTTTTTTAATAAAATTTGCTAATAAGTCTCCTATTTGTTTGAAATACAAGTGTTATTTTATAATGTTTTTGTTAAACATGTCTGCTTAGAAAATAATGTTTTTTGTTGGTAATTGTCATTCTTGAGGTGGCTTACTGTTGAAACCAGGACGCTGATGAAGAAGAAGACTTAATTTCATGTAACAATGAGGGGTCCCATAGCACGGTGTCCTGGATGTTAGCGGTTGTGCTAAGAGAAACAATTTGTTTGAAAGTCGTCGGATGTCTTCCATAAGGTCAGCAATCTTTTTGTTCGCTTTCTCAAGTAGTGTGCAGTCCTCATGGGGCAGAGTTATCTCGGCTAGCATAACATTAGTCGCCGGAGTTGTGGTCAGTAGCGTTGATAGCTTTTTTACGGTCATCTAGTTTAAAATCCATGTGGGATGACCTAAATCCTTAACCCACATGAAACTTAAGTTAAAAACTCAAGTTAAATAAAAGGATACAAAAAATGTAACATAAAAGTGTGGATTAAAACTGGATAAGAGTCCGGTTTAAGACGGAGCTTCCGAAAGGTAGCTACAGACGCCAACGCATGCGCAGAGTACAGATTACGTCAGCGATTACGTCATGTCATGCGATTACATCTCGATAAATCTCGATCTATCAATGTGTGTTTTGCAGAGCCTCAGGTAGTGGGGTCTGTCATAAGCATTTGTGATCATATGGTTATTTGGCCTTGATATTGTTATGTGTTGGCTTCTCCTTCCCCTCTTTTCCTTGTGTTCCCAGTTTTCCCTTCTCTGCTGTCTCTGTCGTGTCTGTCTTGTCCTGTCTGTGGCTCATCACCCTCATCAACTCCTGCAGTCATAAGCTCTGGTTCAGCTCCCACTCGTCGCCAGTTCGTCAGTTTACCTACAGTGGTATATTGCTCCGGCCAATTTCCTAGTCTTGTTAGTTACCTTGCCTAACTTCTTGTTTTTCCATCAGCCACAGTTTTGCCCGTGTGCGGAGTCGCTGCCTGCCTGCCTGTTCTCCGGATCGCCCGCCCGTTCGCTCGCTGCCCGCCTGTCCATCCAGAACGCCATTTGGTTGGATACCCCCTGAGACTGGATTTCCCTGCCTGCTCCCGGACCCCCTGGCTCACTGAGCTCTTAAATAAAGGCCAGCCTGTGTACTCACAAACCATCTGGTGTCCGCTTACGAATCCTTTCTGTGTACCTTAACAGATATATGTACTATTCTTAAAAGAGGGACGTAACTATCCCCTACTGTTTGATGAACAACAATATCGGTATAAACAAATATATTATACATCCCTACATTAACATCAGCAGGATGTGGTGCCAAATATGGCATCTGTGTCAACTCTGTAATTCCCTCGTGAGTTTTAAAAGTCACTCCGGGGATAAATCCCAACATTTGTGCAAATTTTCCTTGAAACGTTAATTCTACGTCTCTCGTTGGTAAAATGCTTACTCTGTTGGTAATGTTGTTGTAATCAAGCAGTGCAGTGGTTAGCACTGTTGGCCCACAGCAAGAAGGTTGTGGGTTCAAACCCCGGTTGCCCCGGCCTCTCTGTGCGGAGTTTGCGCATTCTCCCCGTGTCCGCGTGGGTTCTCTCCTGGTGCTCCGGCTTCCTCCCGCTGTCCAAAGACATGCAGGACAGATCTAAATTGTCCTTAGGTGTGAGTGGATGTCTGTCTATGTGTGGTCTGGCGATGTCCAGGGTGTACTCCTGGACAGGTCGTACCTCAGGGTGAATCCTGACATTCTAAATCTTCCACCGCCCATTCAAACTGAGGCGCCCAAGCCTTTCGGTCCAGAAAGTCAGCCAATGTTAGGGGAGCCTTCTTTCTAGGAGCCATACTCATTGCAACAGAACCTATAATTATTCGTCGTTTTGGAATCATTACTCCCAATTGATTACCTGTGACGTCCATGATTGTGATGCTGCAAAGATGGCGCTGTTATTCCGTTCAGTCACCCTGTTCCATACTCTCGGTCAGATGTAAGTCTAAAAACTAGCCCTTTATACATACACAACGGCCTGCTAAAGCCACTCCCAAAAATCCCGCTTTTAGAGGATAACACCGGACATCCCATATACACAACCCCCCCTTTTCACGCCTGTCTTCACCTTTTGGTGATCGACCCCCACAGCTAACAGAAGATAAGGCTGGATGTGTCTAAATACAAACCCCCATTTTAATACCCCTCTTCACCTTTTGTTGTTCTTTTTGAAATTTTTTAATACATTTTTTTCATTAGTGAATTTTTAGTAATAATATATTTTTATATTTTTTTTTATTAATTAATTTTTGATTAATACATTTTTTTATTAATCAAAAATGTATTCACGTGCACAACTGTTCCGTGCATCATGCGCATTCACATGCACGCGCTTTGCTGGCGTTTATTTACTACTGCGCGGAAGGGGCAACATTGAAAATGAAATACTTAATAGTTTTTTTGTTTAGTTTTATGTCTGATATTGATTTTTGTGTACTTTGATTAAGTGCAGTGAGCTGTGACATGAGCCGTTTCCACTTCATTGAAACCCTGTGGATGAAGCTCGGTGAATTATACCCACTGAGAAAGAACACAATGTGTTCCAGAAAGTTCTTCTCTTCAAAGAGTTAACTTTTCTTCAACAAGATGTTCTTCTACAGTACTTAAATATGTAAATGCATGTGTATGTATGTAAACTATATTCTTTTGTTTTTAGGATTTGATATCTTGTTTAAAATAGACAGCTATTCAGGTGTTACAATAAGTTTGACAGCACTGCATGAACAGGGCCTCAGGTCCCACATGTTCAGGAAGCATCTTGAAAACAAACTTTCTTTCTTCAACCTCCACCACAGCTTTGACCTCCTCCACCGCTGTGTTGCTGTATGTAGTTCCTATAATAGTCATCCTCTCAGAGCTGACACTGATGATAATCTGTATTCAGAGGAACACCAAACCTAAAGGTGAGGCAACAGGAAACTCTTACACAGCCACAAGTGAAACTTCCCATTTCTGATCAAAAATGACATTTCAGTCAGGACACTCATGTCAAAGTTTTAATGACTTGCACCAATGCATACTGTAGTTTGACAGTGTGGCTTTGCTTGTTATGGTGCGGGGACAGAGTGGACCCAAACGCAAAACTCAGGGTGAACAGGTTTTATTGAAGGGAAAAAGGGGTTGAGGGAGTGGAGGTGCGGGAGAGGCAGACGCCGGGGAGAAACACGGCACAGGGAACCGAGGAGACTGAGACAAGGGAGCCGGGGGCACTGGGGACTGAGGGAGTAAGGAGGCACGGGGAGGAGGTGGAGGGGAGAGGGCAGGGTGGCGAGCCCAGCTGATGGAACGGAGGACGGAGGTGAGTGAACCTGGAGTGGAGACAGACAGGGTCAGAAGCAGGGAAAACAAAGTACAAGGAAACGCAGAATACTCAAGAGCTTGAGTGGTGAAGTGGCACCAGGTAAGGAGCAACGACGATCAAACAGGGGTTGAATCGAGAACCGGGGTAGAAGTACTGTCAGAGATGAGGCTGATTGCTGGCAGGTGTGGCAGGCAGAGGAGGTAGCTGACAAGGTGCAGGTGTGGGTCGTTGGCTGGGCTCAGGAGCAGAGGAGGGAGAGAGAGAGGGGGAGGGAGAGCACATGCAGGGGAGGAGACACAGGGAGGCAGGCAGAGTACAGGAAAACACCAGGGGAAAACAGAATCACAAGCAAAAAAAAAAGGGAGAAATAATCGGGACACTCACCGTCAGCCAGGCTGCCACCACAACACTGCTCATGTAATTCTCTGGAACAAATCTGGGCAACAGACTGTCCCTGAGCTCACACACCCACAAAATGTAATGATCATGAAAGACATGTTAAAGAAACAAATTCAACTAAATGCCAAGATTTAATTTTTTATTTCAGTTTGTTTCACCATTTATAATAGAGAAAAATACTTTTGTCTGTTTCACAGGTTTGCAGACCAGAGGAAATTCAGATGGCACAAACATGGAGGTGACTTTCTTTAACTCTTTGATTACTCTCTCTGTTGGATAAGATGTACCAGTGCAGGAGACAGTAGTTAGAGATGCCAATCCTCAGGGCTGGAATCAGGTGAAATTTTGACAGTATCAGCTTAAATAAACCCGATCACATGCTGATCCTTTCTTTACTGAACTCTGCTGTGTTTACTCACCTTGTTGTGTTGCAGCGCAGCTCTCCTTCACGCCTACAGTGCAGCATTTCACTGCACGTAGGAGTTAAAATATAGAGAGTTACTATAAACATCTTTTGGGCACACAGTGAGTGGATCCTGAGTCCTGACATCAAGATTCACTCTGACCCTAACAAATCTGTTATTGAATCTTTAATCTTACATGTTACTGCCAGGTTCACCTCTTAAAATGGCAAACATTGGCTGATTAACGTTACTTCTGTAAGTGCCAAAAATGAAACTTTTCTCTATCAGGTCTGTGTCTGTACAGCCAAAGATCATTTGTGCGTAAAGAGCTTCCACTCTGTTACACTGCTGTACAACCACGAATGGACTGTGTTTATATTCCAACTATTTTATTCTATTCCAACTAACAGTAGGACGTCAATATTTTGTAAGTTACCTTTATTTTTTTATTTACTTAAGATACTCCACCTAAAACCATCAAACTTATTAACAGACCCACCAGAGACTTTAACCCTTGCTGTAGAAAGTTTGTGGACTCAAGTAGTGACGGGTTTCACAGTGGGGAAAAAAAATCAAAATGTCAACAGAAACCAAATCACTTCTGCAGTATAATCCTCTTTCTTCACTGTCCATCACTCATCTGTTTTTCAACATATAGCTTAGCAGAGAGCTTCTGTCTCCACCCTCATGTACAAACTGGTTGTAATGTGTTGGTTTTCATTTCCTGCCTCCTGCTCTCAGGGGTCACCTCCAAAAATGTATTGAAAGGGATGTGTCTGTATTTCACTGTAGGTCATTCTCTGTCAAATTGTGTTTTTGTTTTCAGATCGCCCTCTATGAGAACTGTCCTCCAGCTTCTACATCTGAATCCACCTACGAGAGCCTCGATCCAGCCAGCAGGGATCAGAACCAGACCTACTCTACACTCACACACACACACACAACACAAATGATGCTGTTTGTGTCTCACTGAGCACTGCAACTCTGCCATGTACTCAGGTATTCAGGTAGATTAACGCTTTCTCACCAAGAAGCAGTCCACATGATCTTTAGCAGGTTTTAAAACTGAAAAAAGCACTTAGTCCTACACGTTAGTGGTGGAACTTAAAAAATTAGACCTTCCCTGACTGTCTTGGTTTCGCTATAACAGCCTGTGGACAGATGTAAAGGGCTCAGGATTGCTTTTCTGCCAAAATCCAAAGGATGAGATGTTTATACGCTCCCGGTGCCTTCTTTTCTGCTCCCCTACAGAAACAAATATGTGAAACATTAGTTTAGAAACAGAATTTGCAAACGTCAGCAATACAAAGTTCAAAGCCAAAACTAACATTCCTGCAAAGCAGAAAAACATTATGGGTTTTGGTGGCTGACATTAGCAAATGTTAGCTTGCTTGCTAACGTGGACAAATTGCTGTCCAAAGAAGCCAAAAAGCCAGCTGATTGATCCAGACTCCCAGGGCTGATCTGGCTGGTGGATTGACTGGCTTGCTGTTTGCAGGTTACTTTGGTGGCTGGCGGCGTGAGTGGGCCATGCCAGTGTTTTATGACTATATATTTATTATATTAATTATTTACCACGTAATATCAATAAAATTACAATTTTCAAATTATGCAATATCATGCTGCGGAGCTGGCTTTTCTTTTGCATGATAATGTGTTTTTGTCAGGGTTTGTGGTGGTGTGGCAGGTTGCAGGACCCAAACGCAGGACACAGAGTGGAGCAGGTATAGTTCAATGGTTTATTAAAGCAAACAAAAGGCGAGCACACTTACAACTGAGTGGCTGAGTCCATGTCCAAAATAAATAAGCAATCCAAACAAAACCGGTGATCCAAAAGAACTCAAAAGGCAAACTCCAACTAACCATAGAACTGGCAGGGCAAGACAACGCAAGAAACTGTACACAAAGTAACAGGAGGTAATGACAGAAACACCAGGTATATATACACAGGGACTAACGAGCAGGGCGGGAGCTACGGAGGTGACAGACATGAGACTAACGAGGCAGGCAGAGAGATAGCAGGGAAGACAGAGAGAGGCAGGCAGGCAGAGACAGTAAAGAGGAACAAAGAGGCAGGCCGACAGAGTGATAACTGGGGGAAACAGACGGAACACTTCACAGGCAGAAAAGGGGCCAAGTAACCCACACAGACCAAAATAAAAACACTAAGACACAAAACTAGGAGCTAAGACACAGGGCTGAGATGCAGGAAACAATCTATAACACATGACAGACCGGTACAAACAGAGCTGAACAGAACCAGTAAATGAACAAGGGAATATACTAAACAGAGAACAGAAGACCAGGAGTAAACACTAAAGACATGAACTAAAGTACAGGACAGAGTACAGAAGAGCAAAGACATGGAACCAAAACCAACTAAATAGCAGATACAAACCCAAACCCTCAGAATAAAAACCAGAAAACACAGCACTCGGGACAGGATCGTGACAGTACCAAAAAAAACAGACAGACCAGAACACAGCACAAACAACAAAGTCCAGGCCGACCGGGGGGTGGAGGGAGGCAAGGCCAGAAAAACAAGAAAGACACAGTCCAGGGAGCAGAACGAGAGAGGACCATGGAGGTCGGGGGGTTGACCTGAGGGCAGAATAGGGGGACCAGACAAGGAAACCTCAGGCGGGCGGCCCGAGGACAGAGCAAGGGGGAAACAGTTCAGGAGGCCCTCCTGACCCAAATGGCCGAGCAGAACCGGGGGGCCACAGGGTTCGGGAGGCCGTCCCGAGGGTCGATCGAGCAAGTCAGGCAGATCAGCCAGGAAACAGAGATCAGGAGGTCGTGCTGGAGGACGACAGAGAGAACCGGGGCTCACCTGAGGCCTCACCTCTTCAGGGCCACGGGCTGAGCGGCAGGGCTGATAACCACCGGCAGAGAACAGGGAGCAGGGGTCGAGAGAACCACCGGCGAAGCAGGTGCCGGTCAGACCACCGACGGGGCAGAAGTAACAGGAGTCGGCTGGACCACCATCTTACCTTGTGCTGGTCGGACCACCGATGAGGGAACAGGAGTCGATCGGACCACCGGCGGAGCTGAATCAACAATACAAAAATTAGTTTTGCTGTCCTGTCATGAATCAAGCTGTCCAAGGATACCTGAAAAACCAGAGATCACCAAAACAATATTCAGTGTATATAGCTTCCACTTTGCCCAGGTCTCTCTCAGTATAAATATATTGGATGTCAAGAGACTGTCTGATAAATATATATATTACAGACACACATTAATCAGCATTACTGTAAATGTGCCAGTGTTCGCCTGCATTCAAAATGCCATAAGCACGTCCCAAAATCAAGCATGTAGCATTTGGGGTGTAACTGCAGGATAACGCAGACATCGATGCACAAGAACAAATGCATGGCTACGTGTGGAGCCTACGGTGTAGCTACGCACGTAGACCCTATTCAGGAGTATAAATCAAGCTTTAGAGATTGGACATGTGAGGAGAGAGTGTGTGACCTGCTAAAGAAGCGTTTGATTGGTTGTGTTTGGAAAAGGAAGGCAAGTCACTTCCTGTTAGATTTTTATGTCTTAGGTGATAAAAACTATTTATTAAATATACCATATACCCTCAGACTATTTCCCAAGCACCTTCTCTTCTGTTCTCACTTCCCTCAGAAGTCTCTCACTACGATCCAATCCCCATCTCCACCCTAAAGCACACATACTGGATCTGTTGACGGATCCTATTCATTTTCTGTGACAGGCAGGAGCTCATGCGGTGCATGAAGGACACGCCGTGGAGAGCTGACTGATCAGTCGCTGTATCTGAATTTGTACAAACACAACTTGCTCAACTTTACAGAAATTAGCCTGTTCAACACAACACACCAGGTTCACGAAACAGACAGCAAACTGTAAAACTAGGCAGAGCTGATCAAATATGAATCAAGATTCTGTTACTGGGTTGCCTATTTCTTGCCTCAGTTCCTGACCCCGCCACCACGTTGAAAACAGATAATCCACAGCTACGCACGGTCCAACTTGCAGTTTTGTCACCCAGTTGCAGAGCATTCATTGGTTGGCTGCATCCAGATGCATCCTCACCTGATTCTGTGTGTCTCCAGTTTAAGACCTGAACCCCCACAGACATTTTATAACGTGAAGAAATATACAACACATTGTACATTTATGTTCTAAAAATCTTATCAGGGTGTTTATATGGCTGTTTCATTGATTACTGCTGAAATTTCCAACAGTCCAAGAAATTATTACATTTTTACATAGGGCTACTTGTACTTTACTTGAGTATTTTTTTCAATTTTATAATTTTGCTCCATTTGCTCCAGAGGGAAATATTGTTATTTTTTCTCCACTGCATTTATTTGACATTTATAGTTACTAGTTGCTTTAAATATCCAACGAAGGTTAAAATCAAGGGCAACTGGACTTGGTTGAAGATACTGGAAGACGTTTCGTCCCTCATCCAAAGGACTTCTTCAGTTCTGACTGACTGGCAGGGAAACTCAGCTATTTAACCTCAGTGGGTTCGTTGGCCCGGATCATCGATACCGCTGGTTCATTAGTGTTCCTTGTTTCTGTGACGACAGTCGTTACAGTCGTTAAGACTACCTGTGGCCAAGACTGAACGACCATCGTTGGTATCTTCACCTGAGGCCAATAGGTTACGTTTGTTGAGTTTCCTGGGAAGTGATGAAAGGACAGCATTGTAAGTGGTGGATAAGTGGTGGCGTAGACCCCCTCCTCTGTTCAATGACGGCTTCTCAACCCGGGCGTAGATGGCTTCCTTGACACCTCTTTCAAACCATCCATCTTCTCTGCCTCAAACAAGTGTCCTCTGTCCTTCAGATGTAAGTAGACTGCAGAGTCTTGACCTGAGGAGTTGGCCCTTCTGTGTTGAGCCATGCGTTTGTGTAGTGGTTGTTTAGTCTCCCCAATATACAGGTCTGTGCATTCCTCACTGCATTGGACCGCATACACTAGATTGCTTTTCTTGTGTTTGGGTGTGCGGTCTTTGGGGTGTACCAGCATCTGTCTTAGTGTGTTCTTGGGTTTAAAAATCACAGGGATGTTGTGTTTGTTGAAAATCCTCCTGAGTTTCTCTGATACTCCAGACACGTATGGAATCACAATGTTGTTGTGTTTGACCTTCTTTTCCTCCCCTGTAGTTTTGTTCTTCTTGGATCTTGTGGCTGTCTTCACAAAGGTCCATTTAGGGTATCCACAGGCTGTAAGTGCCCCCTTCAGGTGTTTCTGTTCCTTCTCTCTGGCTTGGGCGCTTGTTGGTATGTTTTCCGCTCTGTGGTGTAGTGTTCTCATGACCCCTAGCTTGTGCTCCAGTGGGTGGTGTGAATCGAAGAGTAGGTATTGTTCTGTGTGTGGGGGTTTTCTATGAACACCAATCTGCAGGCTCCTGTCCTCTTCAATGTGTACAGCGCAGTCCAGGAAGGCCAAACTGTTGTTGTGAACATCTTCTCGTGTGAACTTGATGTTACTGTCCACAGAGTTGATGTGTTCTGTGAAGGCTTGCACTTCCTGGCTTTTAATTTTGACCCAGGTGTCGTCCACATATCTGTACCAGTGGCTCGGTGCTGTTCCTCTGAAGGAGTTGAGGGCTTTGTTCTCCACTTCTTCCATGTAGATGTTTGCCACAATCGGGGATGCCGGTGAGCCCAAGGCACAGCCATGCTTCTGTCTGTAGAATCCACCGTTGTACTGGAAGTAGGTGGTGTTTAGAAAGAGGTCGAGTAATTTACAGATCTGGTCAGGGCTGAGGCTAGTTCTGTTGTCCAGGGTGTTGTCTTGTGTTAGCCATTTCCTAACAGTTTCTACTGCCTCTATGGTGGGGATGCAGGTGAACAAAGAAGTCACGTCATAGGATACCATGGTTTCATCTGTGTGTTTCATCTAGTTGCTTTAAAAAACAAAAAGAAACATGTGATATAATTTCTTTCTCTGCATGTACAACATACATTAATGCGCAGGAAACCCTGCAGTAGAAATATAGATGATGATGATGGGGTGTGTGTGTGTGTGTTGTTTGGAGGAGGGACTATATCATTTAAAGAAGTTAGAAGTTCCTGGTTTGTCAGTGAAGAAGTCAGAGAGGCAGCAGTAAACCATCAGAGCCTCAACATGAAAGTCCGTCACACTTTGATCTGCTTCTTCTTCCTCTGTGAGTATTCACTTTGGATTTCTGTGTCTCTCTCTTGTTATGTAGTTTTTCTTTATTTTCTTTGTTTAAACTGCACATAAGGAAGGAAAATGAAGGGCATAATCTTACATGGTTAGAGGAGAAAAGAAATCTGCATGGATTTAAGAATTGGATAAATAAAAATGTATTTACATCACATTAAATCATTTTTCTTAACCTACTGATCACTGTTTACAGTCACACATCTAACAAATCCTGCTAAAGCTCTGATGTAAAAAAAGTCAGTTGTAAGAGTGTAACAGAATGTTGAAAGTCTCACTGAGCTCTTGTGGTTTTTTGGCTTACAGTTTTTCTCAATTGCTTAAACACTATAAGCAGACTTTTGAACAAAAATTTCAAAACCAAAACTCCATTTTTCAAAAAGCACACGTCCATTTCTCTAAACTCTACTCACAAATCCCTTAATTTCTCATTGCCTTCACCATGTAGTCATTGAGAAAACACTAACATTCAATATTGTTCACTCAATCAGCACAGGTTGAGCTCAGTTAGCACACAGCTACCCAGATGGAAACACAGACAGTCATAATTGATAACACACCAATCAGAAGCTTCAATAGATAGAAAAAAGGGACAGAGTCAGTTCATTCAGTTTTGGAACAATCGATCCAGAGAAATCTAAAGAGAAAGGTCTAGGACATGAGAGAGGAGGAAGAGGAAGAAGAAGAGGAGGAGGACGAGCAGTATAGAGAGGAGTAAGAGGTAAAGGATTATTATTATAGGTTATTTGTTATTTCTTTTGTTGTGTTCAGCGTGTGAAAAGGTTTCTGAGGGGGAGAACCACAAGCAACAATTACTTAGAACCAGTTTTTGTTGTATTGTTTTGAATTTATCTCACCAGTGTGTCAGACTGTGTTGCAGTGTGTGTGTCTCTGAGGGCTTGTGTGTTATGTCTGAGGTCAAGTGTTTGGTTTTTCAGCAAGACTGTATGGTTTTGAGTGCAGAGCTTCATTTTGATCTGAAAATAGGATGTTTGGGGAATTGGGTGAGAAGTTGTGGATTTGTGTTTAGAGTATTCGAGAAAAAGAGGCATAATTTCACAAAATGTGTTTAATCAATTGAGAATAACTGTAAAAACTGACCTGACCGACAATGTTTATGTGCATATTTTGTCTGGTTCTCCTTTTTAATGCTGATTTCAGTATTTCATAGTGTTTTCTTGGTGCTCTGTCTGTTATGCTGTATACTCTGTTTTCCACTTTGGTTGAAATTAATATTTAATTCTAAATGAATGTTTTTATTGACATACAAACCTTTGTAGTAGTTTTACATGTGTCATTTTTCACACAGTTTTATGGCTCACTGTTGTATAAAACGAGAAAAGGAAGAAATCAAAAACCATAATAGCAGCAAAACTAGGAAAAAATAAAACTCTACACGTTAAATCATCTGGAGGGAGTCAGTTACTTTTTATAATTTACATTTGATTTATTGAAACCTTTATTTATACAGCGGATAATAAAAAGTGGCTTTTAGAAGGACAGAGATGTTAAAAACAAAATAACAGCGCCAGTCTATGATCCTCGGTCACAGACTGGTTGAACTGGGCAGCTCCCAGTGTGACGTGAAGCAGCAAATGTTGTGATCAGACTGCAGCATCTTACAGGAAGTTCAGACAGTAACTATTGTTGTTCATCTTTTCAACAGCTCTGCAGGATGGAAACACTGGTCTCACCAATGCCCAAATCCCATCTGTCTATACAGGAACTGAAGGAGGAGATATCACAGTTACATGCCCCTTTTCTTCACGTGGAGTCAGGAAGTTCTTCTGCAAGAGAAAATGTAAACCAGAGGACATCCTCATTGAAACAACTGGTGTCAGAGATCAGAGAGGCAGATACAACATCACATATGAAAGAGGATTTTTTTTAGATAATGTTTTCGTGAGCATCACACAGCTGACCAAGTCTGACTCAGGACTGTACAGCTGTGGTCTGGACAGATCAAACATTACGTTTGAAATCATTGTTGTAGATGGTGAGTTTCTACTAAAAGTCATGAAAATGTTTGTTTCCCGTCTGAAGAAAAGCTTCACTGTTCACTGGTTGATTCTCAAATAAAACCAACAGGCTGATAAACGCGCACACACACACACACACACACACATATTTTTTATACTTAAGTATAAAGTTTTAACAGTTTGTGCTTCTGAAGTGAATATTTTCTTTAACAGTTTATTTCCGAGTATTTTTCACCTGCAATCACAGAATATTAATCACTTTTTCATATATAAAGATCAATGATCAAATTGTGTGCAGAGGCTGAGATTATGATGCTCTGAATCTTTGCTGTAAGAATCCAAAGCAGTCACAGACTGGTAGAACTGGGCAGCTCCCAGTGTAACTGTGGATCACATTTGAAACTGTAATTATTGTGATCAGACTGCATCATGTTAAGTACAGATAGTAACTATTGATTGTTCATCTTTTCAACAGCACTGCTGGATGGAAGTCCTCCTGAAGAAACATCCCTCTATACAAGAGCTGGAGGAAATATTGTAGTTGGATGCTCCTTTATTTTCTCTGGAAGCAGGAAGTACTTCTGCAAGGAAGAATGTAAAGAGAAAGACATTCTTGTTGAAACAACTGGTTTCACAGCTGAGAGAGGCAGATACAGCATCAGATATACAGAACGATCTCTGACAGATGTATCTGTGTATGTGAGCATCACACAGCTGACCAAGTCTGACTCAGGACGGTACAGGTGTTGTCTGGACAGACGTTTATTACCAGATTCCTACCGGGGGTTTGAGATCATTGTCACAGATGGTGAGTTTTCTTAAAGTGAAATAAAAATGAATGAAAATGTTTGTTTATGCCTCTGGAGGTCTGAACAAAGTTTTCACTGACAGCTGCTATTGTTTGAAATTCCCATCTCTGTGAACTGTTCATTTAAAACAGTTCAGCTGACATACAGACAGACTGTACAGCCATTTCTCTTATCAGGATTTTAAATGTACATTATCTGCATGTTTTTGTCTTTCACAGCTCTAACCATTTTAAAACCAAAACCTCCTCTACCCATACCTGTCAATCAGTTTTTCCTGGGATTCTCCCGTTTACCATTCTCTTTCTCTCCTTCTGTTGCTTTTCACCAAGGAGCCCTGCGTTCGAATCTGATGTTTTTTAAATCTCCCATTTAGCGCATATACTCTTTTTCGACAAAGGCAATAACCACCTCAAGCGAGCTTAAAACTTATTGGCGGAATAATGGATTTTCTTTCGAATTTTGCCGTTTCCATCACCCTTTTCTGATGCGATACTTTAAAATGTGCATTAAAAAACGTTGATGGAAACACAGCTAGTGTGTCAATATGTGCTCCTTCCAGCTGCCTCCTCCTGAGAGCAACAGGAAGAGGCCTTGTTCTATTTTACATCTGTTTTACTAAAGTTATTATTTTAAATATTGTTCATTAATCTTGTTTACATAAAGAGTGCTGGTCCCACATGCCACAAGCCGCAATGCACCAATCACAGTAGAGTTTTCTGTGAAACGTTTGTTTTCTCTGCTTTCTCTATATCACTGCTCGGTGTTTTAAACAGCTGTGTCCATGTTGTAAAGACTTTCCTCAATTTGTCTAATTTTCAGGAAATCTGTTTTCAAAAGCTTTGACAACATTTTAAGGTCCAGTACATGTGCTCCTTGGGAAAAAGGTTAGCACAGAGCCCTGTGAGGCCCTTTTGTCTTTTAATTTATACCATGTAGGGATGTTCACAGCATTTCCCTTTCAACCCGGTATCACATTCTGACCGGTTGCACTGTTGATATTTTAAAGTAAGTGGTTGCCCAGTATTAATTTTAGGATTTACTGTGTGTACCCTTATCTAAATGTATGTTTAGGTGAACAGTGGTAGGGTGGTGACCCAGGGCGAGGTGCCTGAATATTTCCCTTATTTTTAAATCCCAATGTCAATCTATGACTCTAGTGGCTTTTTCAACAGCAGTCCCATCAGCCTCCACACCAACAACACAGAGTTTAAGTTCTCAGACTGACCAGCAGCAGACTGCGGCAACAGCAACAGCAGGTACACCCACATTGTTTGATAGATGAAAGTCAATGACTGAAAGCAATGACATCTAATTGTCCTTCCAGCATCTAACAAAGCCACTCAGCCAGTTTGGAGAAGGTTCCAGTCAGAGCTGTGAAATCAGAGTTTGTGTATTATTGTCTCTGTGTGCATGTTTATGCGTTAATGTGTCACGTACAATAGAGCTGCATGTTTTTCATGCAAGTATGAGTTAATTAAAGTGCATGTGTATATACTGTATTGCAGACATAGCAGACATTAAGACATAGCTCCATCAAACACAAATCACATGTCAGCTTCATCCACATACGTCTTTTCCTGTCAACTTGTATCTTTCTAGAGCCATCAGAGGAACACTGAGGAAATACATTGTGAAATGAAGGCTAGTGAAACACAAGCTCCCTTGATCGGTGGGATTTTGGCTCTCTGTAGTACAATATGAAGGACCAGAATGAGCAATGGCTGCACCAAAATCATTTGATTTGACCAAACTGTCCCTAGTTGAAGACACTGTGCTCCAGAATCAGCTGAAGAATGATATACACATGATTCACCCAAGGTTAAGTAGTTTTCACTAGTGAGAGTTAGCATAACTGTTAGCAACTGTAGAAAATGCTGTTAGTTGCATGCAGTTACATATAGCTTCAGTACTGATTTAGAACAGTGGTTAAAATGTTGTTTGGAACTATGTATGACGTGTCCTGTAACATGATTTTATTGGATTAATTAACTAATCAATCAGAAATCAGTATTTTCCATAAACATGGTGAAATGCTACTGTAGAATAAAATTAAAGAATCATGATACTTGTGTGTACCTTGATGAGCTCTGACTGAAAACCTTTGACCTACCCAATGAGAAAGAACACAGTTTGTTCCAGAAAAGGTTTCTTCAAAAAAAGATTCTTCTACAGTTTGATAGCACTGCATGAACAGGCCCACATGTTAAATTTCAATTTGAATCTATTATTATCCACTAATGAATTTCAATTTATTAGTGGATAGCCCCGTGAGATGTAGCATCTCGTTTTCACAAGGGTCCACAGATACACATACATAATACAACAGAAAAAACACAACATACCTAGTACAGAAAATACAAAAGCACAGAACAAATATTCAAAACAACTGAGTTACAAAGCAGCTTGCACCCTCACCCCAGACCAATGACGATGAAAATAGAATTTTAAACATTTCCAATAAACTTTCAGCAAATTACAAAAAATTAAAAACAAAAGACACATCAAGGTTCAGACATGTCATATCTCGTACAATAAGTACATCACATTTAGTTGAGATACACAAGTCAAAACAACTAATTACACAATCAGGACCTGTAAAACAATTGAGATTTAGTGAAAACAAGTATCGCATAAGAAAGGTCAAATCCAAAGAAGGTAAATCAATTAGATGATTACATGAAACAAATTACAAGCAATACTAATGAGTACAGCATCAGTAGCATGCGCACACATTGTTAAGATAGTGAAGTGTAACCTAAATCTGCAAAAAGATTAGATGGATCTCAAAGAAAGAGGGAGATTGTTCCAATCACAAGTAGCCTCATAATGAAAAGCTTTAGGTCCAGCAGCTGAGAAGATTCTTGGTACAGCAAAGACAAGATATTGCATTTCTCTAAGTGAATATGTAGAACTACAAGGAACCGAGAGTACTTTCAGATATGGAGGACAATTGAAATTGGCATATTTGAAAATAAATTTAAACCAATTGAAGTCTCTTCCTGAATTAAGCTGAAGCCAATTTAGTGATTTATGCATTACACAATATTGAGTTTTTCAAAGGACCCTTCATAACAAATCTACACAGAGAGTTAAATACCACATGAAGTGGCTTAAGAACAATGTCTTCATGTAGATGATATCAGCCTAGTCTATAATGGGAAATATCAACTGTGGCGTTGACCTATTCCTGACTTCAAATGTGAAACAATTAACTATAAATCTATAGATCTATAGAGTGAACTGAGACAGCAATATGTTATTTTTGGCTATATTCAGACTGCAGGCCTTAATGCTCAATTCCGTTTTTTTTTCCCAGATCCGATTTTTTTTGTTTGACAGTTCACATTATAGCTTAAATGTGGCCCATATCAGACTCCAGTGTGAACTGTCCGCGGCCTGAAAGCTCGCAAAACACTCCCGGTTTTCACTGTCGTCTCACGGATCACATTTCTCCCTACAGTTTTCGGCACTGTACAACGCAACTGCCCCACAACTCACTTTAAATGCGACCTGAGTGTCCAGACTCAGGTCGCATTTAAAAAGATCCGATCTGTATCAGATTTGGACCACATATGGAAGTGGCCCAATTCCGAACTGGAAAAGATCAGATTCCATGTGACTTGGCCTGTTTACACTGTCATAAAAAGATCAGATCTGAGTCACATATGAACTGCCTTGGCGTGCAGTCTGCACATAGCCTTTGTGATGTAATCAGTGTGAGGTTTAAAAGGTAAGCTCAGGATCAGTCGACAGTCCAATTTAAATTAATCCAATTTCACCATGGAAGACCCATCTTCAAAATAAAGATGCAAATTAAGAGCACAAGGTGGTCATTTGTTATTATGAAGCCATTTTTGCGTCATAATAAAGTCATCTTGTAATCTGTTTTGGACACAGTGAATGTCAGAGTCAGCAGTGTAAATAACAGTATCATCAGCATAAAGATGAACTTTACAGATGGAACAGATGCGTGATAAATCATTAATGAAAATCGAGAACAAAAGCGGTCCTAGAGTGGAACCTTGAGGAACCCCTTTATCAACCAATAAATCATTGTGAAGATAAGAATTAAACCATAACAGTGCACTTTGATTCAAACCTATTGCATAAAGCTTGTCAAGCAGGATATAATGATCCAACATATCAAAAGCTTTGGAAAGGTCGATAAAAATAGCACCAGTTAGCTGTCCCTTATCGAATGGGGAGAAAATGTCAATGGTCACCTTTTGTCACAGATTGAACCAGATTGATATGGGGATAAGATGTTATTCCGAATTGTGATAATTTAATCAAAATTATTATTCATGATCATCATTCATCAATTAGGAAGCATCTGTAAAAAAAAAAATTTTTCTTTTCTTCAACCTCACACAGATGTGCTGCTGTATGTTGTTCCTATTCTTGTCATCATTGTCATCATATCAGGGCTGGCACTGATGATAATCTGTATTCAGAGGAACAGCAAACCTAAGGGTGAGGCAACAGGAAACACTTACACAGTAACGCTAACAACTGAAACTTCCCATTTCTCATCAAAAATGACAGTTCAGTCAGGACACTCATGTCAAAGTTTTAAAGACTTGCATCAATACATTCTGTAGTTTGACAGTGTGGCTCTGTTCATGTAATTCTCTGGAACAAATCTGAGCAACAGACTGTCCCTGAACTCACACACCCACAAAATGTAATGAACAAGAAAGACACAATATAGAAATAAACAAATTCAACTAAATGCTACATGAGGAAGGTGGGGAGTTGGAAGGACTGACATTTCAGTTGCATGCAGACAGAAATTTGGAAATACATAGCTTTGCTTCCTTTTTGTAAACTTGAAGGCTACAGTGTGCAAATACTAGTTAGATCAGTGTAGAGACATCAGCAGTATTTTGTAGCCATGCTAGGGGTGTGGCTCTAGAGATGGTATTGTCAGTTGGTCAGTCCACCACTGTGGTCAACAATTAGTGGATCAACACATTCTCACTCCCAACCCGTTTCATTTTGACGCTTGGTCAAGGCCCTTTGGCATCACTTTTTAACACCCTGGGTACCCCTTTTGAATTTTTACACATTTAGGGCTCCACAGTGAAGTTAGCAACACTAAGCAACAATAAATATGCAACCACCGGTAAAGTTAGCAACAATATATGCATCTGGTTACAAAATAAAACGCTAGCATTTCGAAACATCGCCATTTTGAAACTTATCACAGTTGTGTAACATTGCAATTTGGTTAGGTTTAGGCTACAAAACTACTTAGTTGTGGTTAGGAAGAGATCATGGATTGGGTTAAAATAACTACGTACGTCATTTAACACGTGAATTAACTTACGCAATTTATGTTACTTGCCTAACTTAAATAAAAATAATGTTGACTTGTTGTTTCACATGGGACACGAACAAAGTCTGGGTTCTGGCCCTCCATCCACCCCAACCATCTCCTTAATCAGTCTTTTCTGTTAAATATCATATACTTACCTTTCCGTCAAAAACTAACTGACTTCCCCCATTGCATTGAACTATGAACTATAGGGATCCCCAGTGCGTTCCAAACTGACACTGATGGGCCTTGAACATGCGTCCATATGTGACTAGTCATGGAGTGAGTACGGGTTAAAGTTATGGAATGCCATTTTTGTACTGAAAGTTTTGTTTTTGTCTGTTTGTTCATCATTTTAATGGAGAAAAAATGTTTGTCTGTTTCACAGGTTTGCAGAACAGAGGAAATTCAGATGGCGCAAACGTGGAGGTGACTTTCTTTTACTCTTTGATTACTCTCATGTTGGATAAGATGTACCCGTGCAGGTGACAACAATTTCCTCCAGCTGAACTCAGATAAAACAGAAATCCTGGTCATCGGGTCCCAGCAAATGGCAAAACAAATACTGCCATCTGCTGGTTCCCTAGTAAATCACATTAAGCCTGTGGCAAAGAACCTTGGTGTCTGGTTTGATAGTAATTAAAATTTTGAGCAGCACACCACAAAGCTAGTTCAATCATGTTTTTATCAACTTAGAAATATAGCAAAAATTCAATCTATGTTAACTTTTAAGGACACAGAGACCATTTTACAGGCCTTCATCTCATCACGCCTGGATTATTGCAACAGCCTTTTCACTTGTTTATCCCAAAAATCTACTGATCGACTCCAGAACTCAGCTGCCAGGCTTTTAACCAGAACAAAGAAATATGACCACATTACTCCTATTTTAGCTTCATTACACTGGCTCCCAGTATGTTTTAGAATTGACTTTAAAATTCTATTGATCACTTTTAAAGCTCTTCATGGCCTCTCGCCTTGTTATATTTCTGACCTTTTAGTCCCATACGCACCAGCACGTACCTTGAGATCCTCGGGCAGAGGTCTGTTGTCTGTTCCAGAGTCTCGACTGAAAACTAAAGGGGACAGAGCGTTTGCAGTCGGGGCCCCGAGGCTCTGGAACAGCCTGCCCGAGGAAATCAGGTCAGCTGAATCAGTGAACTCTTTAAAGTCCCTTCTTAAAACATACATTTATAGGAGAGCCTTTCCCGATCTTATTTGACTTTATGTTATCCCTTTTATTTTATTCTATTTTACTAATTTTATATTTAACTTAAACGTGTATTTTAGTCTTTTCAATGTTTTCTTGCTTTTATCTTGTATTGTTTTTGTATTATTGTCTTTACACTTGTTAAAGCACTTTGTAACTTGTTTTTGAAAAGTGCTCTACAAATAAAGATTATTATAACAGTTAAAGATGTCCTTAGCCAATCTTCAGGATTGGAATCAGGGGATATTTTAACATGCTGATCCTTTCTTTACTGAACTCTGCTGTGTTTAGTCACCTTGTTGTGTTGCAGCGCAGCTTTTCTTCACGCCTACAGTGCAGCATTTCACTGCATATAGGTGTAAAATTAAGAGGGTGTTAACATAAACATCTTTTGGGCACACAGTGAGTGAGTCTTGAGTTCTGACATCTCAGATTCACTCTGACCCTAACAACAGGTTCACTGCTTAAAAAGACAAATGTTGGCGGATTAACGTTAATTCTGTAAGGGCCAAAAATGAAAAGCTTGGGTCCTCTACCAGAGGCCTGGGAGTTTGAGGGTTCTGCGCAGTATTTACCTGGAATCTGCTGTAGCCACTCTCCAAGTTTGGGGGTCACAGCCCCAGTGCTCCGAGTACCACTGGCACCACTGTTGCTCTTACTTTCCACATCTTTTCTAGCTCCTGTTTCAGCCCTTGATATTTCTCAAGCTTCTCGTGTTCCTTCTTCTTGATGTTGCTGTCGCTTGGGATTGCCACATCATGTCTTACAATTTTTGTACGTTACCTTTATTTATTTATTTACTTTAGACACTCCACCTAAAACCATCAAACATATTAACAGCCCCACCAGAGACTTTAAACCTTTGCTGTAGAAAGTTTGTGGACAATGGACTCGAGTTGGGACGGGTTTCACAGTGGGTAAAATAATCAAAATCACTCATCTGTTCTTCAACATATAGCTTAGCAGAGAGCTTCTGTCTCCACCCTCATGTACAAAGTTGTTGTAATGTGTTGGTTTTCGTTTCCTGCCTCCTGCTCTCAGGAGTCACCTCCACAAAAAGTATATAAAGGGATGTGTCTGTATTTCACTGTAGGTCATTCTCTGTCAAAATATTTGTGATTTTTTTGTTTTCAGATCGCCCTCTATGAGAACTGTCATCCAGCTTCTACATCTGAACCCACCTACGAGAGCCTTGATCCAGCCAGCAGGGATCAGAACCAGACCTACGCTACACTCACACACACACACAACACAAATGCTGCTGTTTGTGTCTCACTGAGCACTGCAACTCTGCCATAAACTCAGGTATTCAGGTAGATTAACACTTTCTCACTAAGAAGCAGTCCACATGATCTTTAGCAGGTTTTACAGTTTTTCTCAATTGCGTAAACACCAGAAGCAGACTTTTGAAATAAAACTCAATTTTTAAAAAAAAGCACACCCATTTTCTTAAACTATAAACACAAATCCCTTCATTTCTCATTGCTCAACTAAGCAGGTGGAAACACAGACAGTCATAATTGATAACACACCAATCAGAAGCTTTAGACTCAGTTCATTCAGTTTTGGAACAATTGATCCAGAGAAATCTGAAGGAAGAGGTTGAGGACACCAGAGAGGAGGAGGTGGTAGAGGGAAGAGGAGTAGGGAGGAGGAGGAGGAGGAGGAAGAGCAGTAGTGAGCATAAGAGGTGAAGGAAGAGGAACAGAAGGAGTTGGAGGAGGATATGGGATAAGAGGAGGAGTAGAGGGGAGGAGGAGGGAGGAGGAAGTGGTGGAGGGAAGAAGAGTAGGGAGGAGGTGGAGGACAAGAATCTCTGGCCTGTCTCAGACCAAAGACAGGACGCTGGGGCAGAATGATTTGTTGTTATCTGTGTTCTACTGTACAGCACAAGGAATAAAAAATGTTCAAATGTACATTTGTTATTTCTTTTGTGTTCATCAAAAAAGTTTCTGAGGGGGAGAACCTCAAGCAACATTACTAATAACCAGTTTTTGTAGTATTCTTTTGAATTTATCTCACCAGTGTGTCAGACTGTGTTGTAGTGTGTGTCTCTGAGGGCTTGTGTGTTATGTCTGAGGGCAAAGTTTGGTTTTTCAGCAAAATTAAATGGTTTTGGGTGAAGAGCTTCATTTAGACTTGACAGTAGGATGTTTGGGGAATTGGGTGGGAAGTTGTGGATTGGTGTATATTGTTTAGAAAAAAGGCGTCATTTCAAGAAATGTGTTGAAGCAATCGTGAAAAACAGTAACAGGAAAAAATGTAAAACTGAAACAAAGCACTTAGACCTACACCAAAGTGGTTCCATTACAGTTTAGATTCAGTCCAGAACTATAACAATTAAACCTTCCCTGTTTGTCTTGATTTCTTATGACAGCCTGTGGACGGATGTAAACAACTCAGGATGGCTTTTCTGGCCAAATCCAAAGTATAAGACGTCTATGTGCTCCTGGTGCCTTCTTTTCTGCTCTCCTACAGAACCAAATTGTCATTGTGTAATGCTAGCTAATGTGTAAAAATAAAATTTGCGACTGTTAACAAACACCCAGCACCCACCACAACGCAGAGTCCAACACAAAGTTAAAACTAGCATTCCTACAAAGCATATTTACTTTACTTCCATTTACTGTTCTTAAATTAAAGTTAATTAAAGTAATTATATTGTCCTGTGTATACTTTGTGTGTATTAATAGATAATGGAAGAATAAAAGCGGATGTAGATTCTCATCACAATAAAGAATGAACAATGTAAAAATCAGTTTTGCTGCCCTGTCATGACTCAAGCTGTCCACAGATAACTGAAAAAACAAAGACCACCAAAACAATTTTCAGGGTATATAT